CAGGCCTTAATATGCAGCGAAAAAAACACCCAATCAGGCAACACAAGCCACCAGTGTCGCACCATGGCCGCCACATGCGTCATCAAAACAAAAAAGCAGCATACGTCGACAAAGCAGCGAGGAGACGTCGGCATCGTAGGATCAGTTTTAAGACCAGGTTGGTGAGGATGGGAAAAATCTTACATTTCTATGCACACTTACCCCGCCCAACATGACATAATGATTTTGGCGTAAACATACACGCCACTTTCAAGTCAAGTGGTGTGTTATCTATACGAATTTTTTGTATCCGCGTGTATGTCTACGCCATTAATGTACGAGTGATTCCGCGTGTATGTACACGCCGTTAAATGTCTGAGCGAAACGAAGCAAAATGTAGATCTACATCTGGGGAGCGATATTTTTTTCCTCGGATGGTAGGGGAAGACTCATAAACTGTATTAACCCCAGTGATGGGTAGGTTTAGGGACGGGGTTGGGGTAGGTCATATATTTATATATACAGTAATAACGTTAAGTCAACGGCGATCATAAACACGCTGAAAAGCGATTAAGTGTGTTGATAGCGCGCCAAAAATGGAAATACGAATTGGCGTCATACATACGCAATTTCATGAGATCAGTCTGGCCCGCCGATAAAATAATTGCGTTCTGTGGTTTTATATGGGTTGTGGTAATAATTAAAAAAAAAAAAAAAGCTCATAGCAAAATATGGAAAAAAAGAACTATGAACTAGTTCATTTTTTGGAACCGTGAAGTTAGTTCAAAATTGTGAAGTGGGAACTATGAATGGAACTAGTTAATTTTAAAAATTTGTGAACTTTGAACTAGTTCATGTAGAAAGTGAACTTTCCCAACACTGTTGGCCTGTGTTGCGTTCATATTTCAGTCAAACCACACCAGAGTTCGCTTGGAAGCGGAAAGAGTCAAACCTGCCCAGTGTGAACGCCCTTAAGGCCATTGCACACTGAGTCCGAAATTTTCGTATGCGTTTTTTTGTATTCGTGATTCGGTGTCTCAGAATTTTCAAAACACCATTCAAAAACCATTCAAACTGCTTGCTACGGATGCGAAAAACGCAGGAAATCGAACCCGTTTCGATTTTTTTTTTTGACGGACGAAAGTTTCGGAGGCAGTGCGCAAGTGTGATTGACATAACGTGAGTATTTATTTTTTAACGTGCGAAAATTTCAGGCGTGAATTTCAGACTCAGTGTGCAATGGCCTTTAGTCTGGTGCTCTTAGTACCGGTAAAATTGTTTACTTAAATTGTTACCTTAGTACTGAGTTAAAACATTTCAAGTACTGAAAACATTATTGTACGCCACTTTGGCAACAGAGAAGCAGTTATTTATAGGTTTGTATAATTACATAATGTAAGCGTGATGAAAACAGATGCAGAAAATTCCCTAATGCAGTTTCATGGCTGAATGTATTCAGGGCCAAAGGAAGATTATTTTCAAAATGACCAAGTCGGTGGGTTGTCTAAACTGCTTAGATGTGTATGGAGCGCAACAGAATGGAACAGAATGTACATCTCAAGAAGCCGGCACAGCGTCTTATAAACGCAATGCTTTTGATGTAGCACTTTCCCTTAACTAGATAAGGCATGTACATGTGTAGAGAAACAGCAGCACAACAGTTTGGTCTCTATGCAATCATGTTGTCAGGTACCCACATTCAATTGGTCAGAATCGATTGTGCACTGACTCCACTACAGGTCACTTGAAAGCTTCTGGCTGATTAGAGAGCATGAAAGAGAGATGGAGGGTACAAAGAGCAAGAGCAGTTGGTACAAAATGAAATGTAGTTGTTAATTATAAATTATATTTATAAATCTGAGGTCATGTCATTTCAATGGTTTTATATTGATTGCTTAATTTAAATTGAGATAGCAATGCCAAGATAGTGTCAGCAGCAGCATTAACGAGTCACATAATGGATTTAGAATCGCTAAATAGTAGGTTTTAGAAGGCAGGCAGCAACTGATGATTGAAAATGGTTTGATGTAGCTTGATGGAAAGAATTTAAAAAGTGCAGGTAAAGGAATAAGCAAGCTAACTTTGTAATTATAAGGCAGCTTATAAGGCAATTTAGGGACTAATTATTATTTTATTTATCAGAACTTTAATATATTTTGATGTTCCTCTGTTCTGTTGTTTCTTTTTAAAATGCATTATCATATTATTTTAATTAATTATTATTTTAATAAATGTTTTGTGACATTATAACATGTCTTTCCTGTATCTTTTGACAGTTAGTTCTTTCTGAATAAAAGTATCAATTTCTTTCCTAGTGACCTTAAACTTTTGGATGGTGTTGTGTAGTTTAGAAACTACAGTAAGTTTCTGCTCTGACTTCAGAAAGATAACACTAAGAAGAGGGTGATGACGAGATGCAGATGGTTTCCACATTTAGTAGGGAAGGTGAGAAGCTGTAAGTGTGTTCACAGAAAGACGTTTCCATGACGTTTCTTCACCAGAGATTGTAGGTGTGAGTGCTTGTGTATATGTCTCGGTTTCACTCGGATGATCATTTTAATTGCTGCTCTGCAAGACGTAGGTAGGAGCAGCATTAATGACGTTTGGTTTATTTTAAGACTGCTCTCGGCTAAACTTAGCAGCATAACCTTATACATTCTGCACTGAACCACTTTATTCCTTCACAATATGGATTTCTCACATGGTACTTAAGTTGTAAATGGCAAGATATTTATTACATATTATTAGTACATTTACAGAAGATCTAAACATGGCTAAGACTCAAGTTACATCTACTCCAACTGGAAAATGAATGGGTTCATCACTATGCAGTTTAACAATTAACGTATGATTAAGAAGATGCTCACACATGACTGTCCTATTCCATCTTTAGAATATTCCGCAAAATAATTGTTTGCCAATTTTTCCTCAAACCTTGAAAGCTATTTATTAAAACATGAAGAGATATTTCATCCAAAAGGGAATTCAGTCATCATTTTCTCATCATCATGTCATCGGTGTCTATGGAAGCTAATTTTCGCACACAGAATAAACTTTTTTTCCTCACAATTGCGACTTTCAATTGCGATCTCACAATTCTGACCTTATAACACGCAATTGCGACTTTATATCAAGCAATTCTGACCTTATAACTCACAATTGCGACTTTATATCAAGTAGAGCCAGACCGATTTATCGGCAGGCCAATATTAGACATTTTCCAAACTATCGGTATCAGCATTTATAATGGCCGATAAATGAATTAAAACGGACGAAACACGCTTCAATCATGTCATGAGTGTTGGAGTTGTATAGTTTGTCCACCAGAGGGCACTCTACACCGTCCCTGTTGGCAACACTCGTGTATAACGCGCCACACATCCTGCAACCCACTGATCCAGCCAGAGTCGGGCAGAGAGAACCTGTTAGTTCTCTCCTGAGATGCATCATCTCTCTTTGGGTTGTTATATTGAAAATGTATGTTTTACAATTTGCAGTATGACGTTATCCATTGCTAAATTATGGCTCATCGTAGACTAGCTAACCACAAAGCTAGCTAATGCCACTATCAGTGGAAGACCGCTAACGTTAACATTAATGAGCTTGAAAACCACAACAAACTTTTTCTGCCTAAATAAAGTAATGATTACTGTATTTATAACAAGCATATCTCTAGTTACAGTCCCTGCATTGTAAATTGTAAATTAGACTTGCGAGGAGTGAACATTTATATAGAGAGAAAAAGTATCAAACGTATCTTGTGCATAAAAGTTAGCTTTTCTTTTACATGTGCGAAATCCAATGACTCCAAGTGTGCGTTGCAGACTGTCGTTCAGCCGCAGCATTAACGAGTTAACAAGTTTGATGTAGCTTGATGGAAAGAATTTAAAAAGTGCAGGTAAAGGAATAAGCAAGCTGACATTGTAATTATAAGGCAGCTTATAAGGCAATTTAGGGAATAATTATAATTTTATTTATCAGAACTTTAATATATTTTGATGTTCCTCTGTTCTTTTGTTTCTTTTTAAAATGCATTATCATATTATTTTAGTTAAAGCTACACTGTGTAACTCTTTTAGTTTATTCTTAGCTAAAAACACTTAGTTCTTTCAAAAATATATGTGCTCGTTAATGTATATTTACTTCGTTCAAGTATTAAAGTATTTTCGTGAGTGTATAATATGCCATTGAAAATACATACGGGTAAGGGGTTCTAATGTCGATCACCATGTTGCCCCTCCATCTTGAAAGTGCATTAGCCAAAGAGGGACATACCCGTTAATTCAAGCTTCGCCTTTCGCGTACGTTTGAGTTAACACTCATGGACGAGGTTGAACTGGAAGCCATGTTAATCTTGGACTACATCGGCCACCGTAGTTAAAACGAAATAGGAATTGAGAGGAACAGAAACTAATATTCACTGGATGGTCATTTATCCTTTCACCACTAGATGGGGGTAAAAATCACACAGTGTAGCTTTAAAACTCAGCTAATGTTAGGGAAATCTGTTAATGTTTTGTTGCGCGTTTCTGAAATAAAAAAAATTAAATATCGGCCGATATATCGGATTTTAAAACCAACAAATATTTGTATCGGCTTTCAGAATCCTTTATCGGTCGGGCTCTAATATCAAGCAATTCGGAGGTAAAAACTCAGAAATGCAAGATGTAAACTCGCATTTTAAAAAAGAACAAAGTCAGAATTGCGAGATAAAAAGTCGCAATTACCTTTTTTATTTTTCATTCTGTGGCAGAAACCAGCTTTCATAGGAGTCAGCCAAACCAGTGCGGTTCTGTGGAATCCAAAAGAATTGATTCTCAAAAGTGCATTTTTTTGTCCATACAATGAATGTCAATGGGATCCAATGCTGTTTGAAAAAGAAAGTCAAAGAGGTTTGAAATGAAGGGTTTATGTTTCACAAAGCACAACACATCTGTGAGCAAATGTCCACAGCGGTGCATCAGGCCAGCTATGCATCCAGTGCAATCGCCTCGCTCATTCCTAGGTGGTAAGGAAGGTGGTCACAGAGTGGTCACAGAGTCAGACGTGCGAGATTGAGTCCACCACATCGACAGATTAAGATTTCCATTATCCTCTCCACAGGAGTTGGCTGTGTTGAGAGCGACGCTCCCTGGAGATTTGTCTTGATTCTGTAGGTTGAATATTTTCGGGAGCGAGGCCAGAGCCAGGGCAGAGGCTGGGGACGGGCCACAGAGGCGCAAACGCAAAGCCTTGGCTGAGCGGTGGAGGTCACCAATGAAGCAGTAGCAAAATGGGTTGAGAGAAGAGTTGGTGAGGCCTAACCATTGTGCAAAGGGTCTGGTCTGTAAAAGCCAGTCCGGTGGATGGCGGAGCTCACGGTCCAGCCAAATATCAGTCACGTACATAGGCAACCATGACAGAGCGAAGAGCAGCACCAAAGCCGCGACCATACGCGCGATCTGCTTACGCCCCTGCAACCTCGTTTCATGAAGCGCCTGAGAACGGGGGTCCAGCTCTGTGAACTGACCCTCGGTGCCAGTGCTGCGCAGCCGGCGACACGTGAGGAAGGCTAGCGTGAGATTGAACGCGACAGGTAGGCAGTAGAGTGCGCTGAACAGCAGGACGTTGTACGCCTGTCGCAATCGCGGCTGAGGCCACACCTCTGCACACACGGGCAGCACGATGGCCAGCCCTTCGATCAAAGCTACTTCATCACGCCTGGTCACTATTGCGACGGGCATGCAGATCACTGAGGAGACGAGCCACACGATTGTGACGGAGGCGAGGATGCGTCGACGAGTGAAGTAGGCTCGGGATTGTAGCGGCGAGTGAACAGCATAGTACCGGCTGATGCTGATGACAGTGATGCTCAGGACGCTGGCCGAAACCGACACCGCTTGCGTGAACGGCACCGCGCGGCATAGAAAGTCCCCGTACACCCATGGCGTGTAGATGCGGTGGCCAAGGGTGACGGGCATGCACACGCAAACAACTGCTAGATCGCACACCGCTAGGTTTATCAGCAGGCAGCGGGTGGCGCTCGCACCCGACAGACGCATGCTTCCGTGCTGGCCAAGTAGGACTTTGAGGGACATGACATTTCCTAAGAAACCCACAAGGAAGGAAATAGAGTAAAGGACAGTCAGTATAATGGTGCCAGGCTCTCGGATGGTGAGGAACAGCTGCCATTCTAAAGCAGCATTGTCCTGGAAGAAGAAGGAGCTGTTGAAGAAGCTGGCTGGAGTCGACCTGCTCTTGTTTTGAGGTTCACGTTGAAGATCCAATGCCCTGGGGAGGGCGTAGAACTGGGTTGGTGGCTGATCTGGGGTCAGATTCATAGTGGTTTTTCCGTGGTGTTGACAGAACTACATCGTGACTAAACTACATGGTAACAGTTTGAAGTTACTTTACTTTTCAGGTACTAATGTTTCCATTCATGCAGAAAAAAGCTTGAAGGCCATGACAGAAAAAAGCAGATGATGTGAAATCCATTCTTTCCTTTTGTCGTTTTACTAACTCAAAGCCAATGCATCTGTTCTTCCACACTATTCACTTTTACCTCCCCTGACAATATAGATGACAACAAAAGCCACCAAAACCCTCTTCTTTATCTAATGTGTACCTCGTCTTCATTCCTTTGTTTTCTTCCTTCACATCTTGAGGTCATATTTATCTTCATGTATGACCTGAAAAAGGACAGAGACGGTTACACACATAGATGTACACGCCATGGACATACACATTTATTCACATAGCCATTAAACGAATGTAGAACAGCCACAAACACGAACAAGTAAAAGCTTTCCAAATCCTTTGATTTATTCATACATTCAGACTCACACTGCATAGTGTGTGTATGAGGGAAGCTGAGATTACCATCTTAAATTTAAAGTGCTAACAGTAGTAAATGAGACAGAAAGGTTTTTACTTTGTATCAATCAATAGCTTTATTTTCCTGAATGGCTTTAAACACCATGAATGGTGTTGCAAATGTTTTAATCCATTCATAAAAACTCTTGGTAACCATTTTTATTTAATGAATTTAAAATAACATAAAACATAATATTTTAAAATAATATACATGCCGATGGAGGTAAATAACTTAAGATTCATAACTTATTAAAACACTATGCCCTTTTCTGCCACATGTTATTTCTATCAATAATAATTGTAGATAAAATATATATTTTAAAATGACTAAACATATTCAGTTGTCGACACAAAACAGCTAATTTTACACACAGATGGATTTGAAATAGATAGACAAAGCTACTTACTCAAACGATCATAACGCTCTAATGTATCTTCTAATAGGTCAAAAGTTAATATATGTCCTCCAGGTAAATATCAACGTTCATTTTCCAACAGACCTCTATTAAATCCAGCGCGTTGAGGCGTCAGATACCTGTTCACGACCTCTGGTAAAGTGAGTTATCGGTTGAGGACTCGAGGTTCAAGGCAAACTGGAGCTTTGTCTTTAACGGCGTGCGATCGCTGCGCACATGCGCCCCCTCGCGGCAGCATGAACACACTGACAGCCGCCGGGCAGCACACCAGCTGGGCTTTCCTTCTGAGCAACCCCGTGGCAAGAAGAGCACGTCACGGTGCTTAAGTAAGCAGAATCATTTAAATATTTAAGTTGTAAAGTGATGAAATGTAGTAAATAGAATGAAATAAGCCCACCCCAGTCATTTTCTGCTCTATCATAAAAATCTCACTCTCATGAGAATATACTGAAATACATCAGTGATTTAATAAAAAAATAAAATAAAATCAGTACTTCCTTAAATGAATTGCAATTAAAAAAAACTATTATTTTCATCATTACGCATATAAACACTAATTTTGTTATGAAAACAACTGCACGTTGCAACATGTTAAGGGGCCAAAAAAAAAAATAATTTCTTTATGCAATAACAGCCTATTGAGAGAGAAACCAAGCTCACATGTACAGCTACTGCAGATCTGCATCCGTTCACCCCTTAATTAACTAGCTAATGTTACTTTCACCTGTCAGGACAACTCATGTGATATTTCTCCTTTTTCTGAATTCATTATTGGCTAAGAGTTTCCATGTTTTGGCACACCATCTGTGCAGAATTTCTGTTCTCCGTCTGTGTGCCTACTGCAATTACCCTGGAGCATTATTCGTATAACCGCTGTGATATACAGTAGATGCAATTACACACCATATCATAATTTAACAGTAGTGCATCAATTTGAAAAAGTTACTCTTAGGTCCAAATGTCAAAAAAAAACTGTTAAAAAATTGTAAGCTTTGAAGCAAAGACTAAAGTTCAGACTTTTTTTTTTTTTTTTTTTAAATGTTTTACAATATAAAACATTAAAATGTAGCTTCATTATTTATCCAATTGGCTCTGCAGAAGCAGAAAACAAGAATAAAGTGATCTGCTTTATAGGCCAAATCCGAGAAAAAGGTACCATCTGATAAAAAAAAAAATTGTAAACATGTTTATTTTGAAGAATGAAAGCCTAACAAAGACTGTAGCATGGGATTAAAAATTGCAGTTTTAATGGGTTTCATTAGAGACATTTTTGTTCTTAAGATAGTGAAACTGTTTTGTGTAGCTAGTGAAAAATAGATTTATTAAAGGAAATGGGGGTGAAATAATAAAATCCCAATAAAACTAGCCTACTCACTTGTGCCAAAATTTATGCAGTTGGTAGGCTATAACACCCAAGGACGCACAAGGGTTAAACAACCAAGACTCGCATAAGCAGACAAATGTTCAAACAAATTTGGTCTCCAAACCCTTTTAGATATGAAAATTAAATATTAGGATATTGATTAATTGTTAAATAGCCTATTCATTAATGTCAACAAAGGCTACTTTGGGGAGTGGCAGTGCTAGGCTATAACAGACAAACTGCAGCCAAAGTGCATTCGTTATAAAATCAAGTTTATTTTAATCCAAATATACTTTCATTCTCGCTTCCGCTTTTACCATGCAGAAAATAGTAAGCGTGTGAACAATGGACCAATTTATAATGTAGGGCGGGACACTTCAGATTCTAGAGAGCATTTGACAGTCAAGTTAAATCTGACAAGAAGCTGAAGTGCAGAGAGGTGTCATCAAAATTGAATATTTATCTTCCAAATCCGACTTTTTTCATGGTTTGAGCATACTAGATTATAAATAACAGTTAGGCTAACATATTCATACTAAAAAGCTGAATAAGTTTATTTTTAGTCATAGACTTTAAAGCGGACAAAACTGCCGCGCGCGCGCTAAATTAAATTGTTTTTAGCCTACACATCTCTGAAACATTACCTGAAAAGAACATAGATGTCTTTTTTTTTATGAAAATGAGGCTGTTATCTAGTTGGCTGGCTCTGGTCTACATTAAAAATCCATCTCCAGTCTCCAACGAACGAATCATGGTGCCAGAAAACGTGTGGGGAAATATGACGTGACAGCGGAAAGACAAGTATTGAACGTAGGCCTATTATAGACTTGTTTAAATTCACAAAAATATAAATCTATTCAAACCTTCGCATCGCGGTAGGTGAGATATGAAAAAAGATTTTTCGTTTTCGTGCGAATCATCCCTTTAATAGCCTACTAAATCAATGTCTATACAAGCAACACCAATGTAGCCTACTTAGTGTCTAGTGCATGTTAATAATGGATTGCATCCCAGGAACAACACACAAGTTTAGAGTACTTTTCTAAATGGCATTTAAGATGGCAGTTTATTAACAGCCCAACTGCATTTTTTTTTTATTGTTCAACTACAACATGATCTATTTTTAAATGTACACCTTCATGCAGTTTTCAAACAAACAAGTGTACAAATTCTCTTTTCAAGTACTTTGGCATACGTTCATAGCTTATCTTTCCAGCATCAAAATTTCAGGGCCAAGATTTTTTATAAGATCATACCTTGATAAATGCATACCACGAGAAAGTATTTTTCTGTCTTCAGGCACTGATGCTCAACACCCTGCACCAGATAAGTTCATTTTAATATATTATTAAAACATTAAATCCAGGCTCAGAAAATCAATTTTCCTGACATGTAGCTACAACATCTTAAATCACAAATGAAATAAAATAAAATAAAAAACATGAAAAATCCATAAGAATTGTTATCAAAACATCAATTTATGACAAACCATTATTCACATTTAGAAAGGAGTGAGTAGGCTCATTTGTTATGGTCTATACAATTGAAAGCGTATTGCTAGAAAAAAAAAAGTGTACATTTACACAAAGAAAGGTTACTGTATGAAAATGTTACGAAAGGCAGAATATTTCTTCCTAATATTTCCTTCAGTCATGCAACTGCATCATATGGTACAGAGTCATAGATCTGAACATTTGGATTGTCTCTATATAATGGTTAGTGGTTGAATACAAGTAAATACTGTAAAAAGACTCCCACATTTTAGAGCATTTTTACATTGTGTCTATTGAGTGGTAAGGTGCATTTTTATCCAATATTCTGTGTTTATGTGAAGCGTTTAGTGTTGCTTTTTGTGCATGAGTGTGTTTCTAGGATTGTAACCGTGGTCGCCTGACACAACATGGTCAAAGCATATCTGAGTTTTAAGGGTTAGGGATACAAGCCCTTTCCTGTTTGCATCCAAACATAGCATCCACTTGTTACACAAAAAGATTATTCAAACAACACGCAACCTCAATCGACTGAGGGTGTCACAAAGTCAGAAAAGATACAGCATTATAGCATTTTCCAGTTTAAAATGACATTTCAACCTGCTAATGTAATTCATGATATTTATTTAAATCAAAAGAATCAATAAACACCTACGTTCAAGAATCGTCTCGAGAGTGGCATTAGATGCCACATTTTCGCATGATAACATTAGCGGTTGATCGGCGTCATGACAATGTCTAAACACTTACGGTATGTCAGCGTTTTGACACTGGATGCAAGTAAATGAAACCAACAATACTGCACTGATAAAGACAGCTAGGTTATCTTACACTACATCCACACAAGTCTTACTTAGTGACTGCATGACAAGGAGGAACTGTCCTCAGTTTCATTGTCCCATCAGTTTTTTTCCCCTATCCATTTTTTTTTGTATGTTTACCCTGTGGTGGAAAGGAGATGAAACCACAAATGTCCTGTTGGTGGCACACATCCAGATTAATCAACACCACAGAGAAGTGTTTCCCCATTGATGTAAAACAAAAAATAAAGAAAAAGGCTGACCATGGTGAAAATCTATGGTGAGGCGTATTGCATTCACTTGAAGGAAAAAAAATCTACTGTTTTTCTGAATTAACAAGTGAATTATCTCAGAATTACGAGATAATTTTTCATGGAAAAAAGTTTTTGCTCCGTTTTTCTGAATTAACGAGTTAATTTTTCATGAGAAAAAAGTTTTTGCTCTGTTTTTCTGAATTAACGAGTTAATTTTTCATGAGAAAAAAAGTTTTTTCTCTGTTTTTCTGAATTAAAGAGTTAATTTTTCATGGAATTTTTTTGCTCTGTTTTTCTGAATTAACGAGTTAATTTTTCATGAGAAAAAAGTTTTTGCTCTGTTTTTCTGAATTAACGAGTTCATTTTTCATGGAATTTTTTTGCTCTGTTTTTCTGAATTAACAAGTTAATTTTTCATGAGAAAAAAAGTTTTTGCTCTGTTTTTCTGAATTAACGAGTTCATTTTTCCTGAGAAAAAAGTTTTTTCTCTGTTTTTCTGAATTAACGAGTTCATTTTTCATGGAATTTTTTTGCTCTGTTTTTCTGAATTAACGAGTTCATTTTTCATGAGAAAAAAGTTTTTGCTCTGTTTTCTGAATTAACGAGTTCATTTTTCATGAGAAAAAAAGTTTTTGCTCTGTTTTTCTGAATTAACGAGTTCATTTTTCCTGAGAAAAAAGTTTTTTCTCTGTTTTTCTGAATTAACGAGTTCATTTTTCATGGAATTTTTTTGCTCTGTTTTTCTGAATTAACGAGTTCATTTTTCATGAGAAAAAAGTTTTTGCTCTGTTTTTCTGAATTAACGAGTTCATTTTTCATGAGAAAAAAAGTTTTTGCTCTGTTTTTCTGAATTAACGAGTTCATTTTTCCTGAGAAAAAAGTTTTTGCTCTGTTTTTCTGAATTAACGAGTTCATTTTTCATGAGAAAAAAAGTTTTTGCTCTGTTTTTCTGAATTAACGAGTTCATTTTTCATGAGAAAAAAAGTTTTTGCTCTGTTTTTCTGAATTAACGAGTTAATTTTTCATGAGAAAAAAAGTTTTTGCTCTGTTTTTCTGAATTAACGAGTTAATTTTTCATGAGAAAAAAAGTTTTGGCTCTGTTTTTCTGAATTAACGAGTTAATTTTTCATGAGAAAAAAAGTTTTTGCTCTGTTTTTCTGAATTAACGAGTTAATTTTTCATGAGAAAAAAAGTTTTTTCTCTGTTTTTCTGAATTAAAGAGTTAATTTTTCATGGAATTTTTTTTGCTCTGTTTTTCTGAATTAATGAGTTAATTTTTCATGAGAAAAAAGTTTTTGCTCTGTT